AAAGATTTACAGCCTCGGAAACCCTGTACAGGCTCGCTATGAGTCGGAACCAACTCCACAGCACATAACAACGACAACTTCTTACTCCAGTTCTACAGCTCTATCTCTCTCTCCTTGATCTAGGAGGTTTTTAGCGCAATGATCCTTGGTCCAAAGGATGTGTTCCGTTCTTGCTCTTTTTTGTGCTCAGGAGGTCTTCCTTTCTACCACTGGGAGGGTTCATTTTAAGACCTGATCAATTCCCATGTTAGGGTTATATACACTTAATTTTATGGTCCTGGGCTGGTAATCACAGGGTTAGCAATTCAAACCCACCAGCCACTCCTAGGAAACTCTATATACGGTTGCTATGAGTCAGAATAGACTCAACAGAACATAACAACAACTCCAACAGAGTCCTGGTGTGGCGCTGTAGGATAAGTACTGGGATGCTAACAGAAAGGTCAGCAGTTCAAATCCACCAGTCAGTCTGGGAAATCCTATATGGGGTCTCCATGAGTTGGAACTGACTCTACAGCAGTGGGTTTTGCTTCTTTGCTAAGATTTAAAGAAAGGGCACTTTGAGAACAGAGGTAAGTTGGTTGTAGCAAGTTGTAAAAGTGTCAGTTCAGAAAGGCAAGAACAGACTGCAACTCGTGTTGGACCTCAAAGGAGGGAAGCCTGGTGAGTGAATCTGTAATTACTAGCAGTATCTAAAATCGAAACGTCTCTGCTGCTCCCTAGGGTTATACATATGCACGAAACTTGAAAACTGTGAGAAAAAAGAAAAAGTTGAGAAGGCTGACAATTATTTCAAAACTGGTGTTTAAGGACAGAAAAGAGACTAAACAAAAGAAAGTGACCCAGTCCAATAGAGCAACAATGACAGGCAGCAAGATTAGTCTAAGCAAGTCCAACAACAGATCCCAGTGTATAAGGAGGAAAACTAAATAACCAGCGTTTCAATAATGAACTGTTTTAGTAAACTTTCCCCCCCCCCTAAATGAGTGAATAAAAAAAGTTTTGAATGGAGTTGGCTCATTCCAGCTGCTGCTGCTGGCCTCGCTGCATTCCTAAACCCTACCAATCCCCCCTCACCAAAACTTATTTTTCCATTTCAAAGGTTTTAAGGTTACTATTAACCATTAAAGTACTAGTTTGAGGTTGTAATTCAACAAACATTAACTGCAGAGTCTGTGATGAAAAACAGTGCTCCCATAGTGACCCTCTGGGGACTAGAGCTGGCTCTCACTCAGGACAGCTGGAAACTCTTACATAAATATGCCGTGAGAAAGTACTTTTCAGTTCAAGACTCCCAATGTGACACCATACCATAAATTTCTATGGGCTACAGTTATTCTTCCAGGGGCTTCATGGGAGTACATGGGGGGTGGGGATGGGGGAAAGAGGTAGGATGGAGGAGGTGAAATGTATTATATTATGCTCTTCAAGATATTCGAAGAAAGAGCCCAAGTTAGCTCTCCCCTTTCACTCAAACTGCTTCCCTCGATTCTACCACCCTTCTATGTTAAGAAGCTGTTATCAAATACTAAAAGGGATAGTGTGTGGCTGGAATGGTGCCCGTGATATGTATACCCCAATTCCAATCCACACAAAGACTCTCAGACACGCTTTTTGAGTCTCCCTCAAGTTGTTTATTTTCACAATAAATTATCACATTCTTTCAAATAAAAGGGCAGTTGTATTTCTGGATTATTTACTGAGATCAAGCTCCAAGACAATCTAACGTGCTAGAGTCAGCCAGGATATCACCAGAGGGAAGTGCTTAAAATAAAGCTGCCTTGTTATCAATCATATTTCCTACTCCTCCAAATTCTCACTAAGAGTTCACAGTCCACAGCAAATCACTAAGTTCTGCTATTAGTGACAGCTGCCTTCCTAGTCTGGTCTCTCAGGACCTCCCCCTCCTGCCTACAGGATCCGGACTGTCCTGGCTTTCTCCCTTGGGGTTAATTACCTTTGGCCTCAGCCTTATTTTCTAATTTCCCCCAAAGATTGAAATCACAACCATGACTTCCAGATTGCCGCAGGCTCTGTGCTACAAGGCTGAAAAATACTGTTCAGACTTTGCAGTTGGCAAGAACACTCCTAGGAAATAGAGTATTTACTTTTGAGAGAGATGCAAGGTTTTAGTAAATCTGAGTCCAGAAAGACACAGCTTTCTTGGACAGGAGTTAGGGGAGCAAAGGGAGGAAAAGAGTTATTTCAGGATTGTGACTGATTTAAAGAAAAGTCTTTTCTGTTTTAGAAATAGCTAAAAACAGAAATATATAACTGCTGGGCTAAAATTTTCAGGATCTGGGGAATACGGGAGGTCATTTTTCTATACAGGTTCAGATTATCTGAAGTCATCTGAAAACGTTTAATTTCAAATTAAAGTCTTCTCTGAAGGGAACCACATCTTTGTACTTCCCTAGACCCAAATCCCAAACGGTTAGCATTCACAGCACTGCGGAGTGTTACATTTTTTTCCCCTCAAAGTATCGATCCATGCTCAATACCTTTTAGAAGATACTGGTGTCACATGACACAGCTCCTTCTTTATGTGGAAGGTCAACAACCAAAGAGAAGATAATGTGAGACTAACTACCATGTTGTGGCCTGATCTTGAGTCCAAAAAAGTACTTTATTAAGTGCTGTTGAGCCAGTTCTGACTCATAGGGATCACGCATACTGTTTCAAGGAGCAGCTGGTGGGTTTGAACTGCAGACCTTGTGGTTCGAAGCCCAGTGCTGATCCTACAGTGCCACACTGGCTAAGGGCTAGCTACTTATTTAAATAATATTTTTTTTTAAATCTTCTGCCACAAGGCCGTTGTTAGGTGCCAACTCACAGCAACCCTAAGGACAACATTCACGTGGCTCATTTGTGCTATTCAGCTTCTGGACCTTGTAGTTAATTTAATCCTAAGGATAGGGGAGGGTGGGAAAGGTACCTCAGGCACCACTATGCTAGTAACCAGCAGAAATAACCAGACACACAGGGCCACAGGCCTTCCCAAGGAGGGCCAGGGTAAAAGATTATGAACCTCTACCCACCATATCCACCGCCCTTCTAAACTCAAAACTGACTAGAAGCAGTAGCCATAAAGCCGGGGCATAGCAAACGTTTAATAAATGTTACCAATATTACTGTTATCATTATGAGAGTAAACACAGGCTTCCTGAGAGGCACTGTGGCTACCATCTAACAACAACAATGAACATTTACTGAGAACTTTTATTTAGGAGTCCTGGTAATGGCACTGCAGGATAACCATTTGACCATTAGGTCGGTTTGAACTGCAAGGTCGGCAGTTCAAACTCACCAGCCACTCCTTGAAAACCCTGCATGGGGTTGCTGTGAGTCAGAACCAACTTGATGGTGCTTAACAATGTTGTTGTTAAGTGCCGTCGAGTTGGTTCCAACCCATAGTGACCCTGTACGGGGTTTCCGAGGCTGTAAATCTTCACGGGAGCAGAAAGCCTCATCTTTCTCCCGCGGAGCAGCTGGTAGTTTTGAACTGCTGACCTTAAGGTTCGCAGCCCTATTCGTAACCACTACGCTCCTTATAATACTTACTATTTGCCAGGCAGTGATCAAGAGTCCTGGCAGCACCATGGGTTAAGTATTGGGCTGCAAACCATCAGTCACTCCATAGGAGAAAACTGAGGCTGTCTGTTCCAGTGAAGATTTACGGTCTTGGAAACCGTAAGGAGCAGTTCTACCCTTCCTAGTGGGTTATTATCAGTTAGTATTGACTTGACAGCAGTGGATGCCAGCCATTTTATTTTACTTAAACACAAAGAGTTGTGTGAAGTGTGTACTATTAGTATTAACTGCCGTTTACCAGACAAAGAACCTGAGGCTTAGGAAGATTGAGTTACTTGCTGAAGACCATACAGTTAACAGGTGAAGAGGTACAATATGAAGCGAGGTAGTTCTCACTTCAGGGCCCACACCCTTACTGCTATGTAACACAGCTCCACCTGGTTGGGTAACAACCTATTTGGCAATGTTATTCTATTAACTGAGTCCTCGTCACTGCTACAATAACAATCATCTGGGTATGACACTGTAAGATCTAGAGCAAGTTCTCACTGTGGAAAATCAGAACCAGGTACGATGTCTTAGGCAATGACATCAGGGCTGGCACCTTGCTCTCCTGTTTGGCGGACTGTACCTGGAAACAGCAGACAGCCACACGTCGCAGGAGAATGAGAGAATGAAACGATTAGGAGAGGAACCAGCATCATCATGATTCTCTCAATCCATTTCACCCCCTTGAACCTTGATGCAGTGGGACTACTTGTAAACTTACAAGGAAACTTCAAAAAGTTTATGGAAAAATTGGATTAAAATAAATGGAATTTTTTCATGAACTTTTGGATGTCCCCTTATACAATATGCCATCTTTGTTTTCCACACTTCTGCTTCCTGTTAATTTGACAAATATTAAAATTCAAATTCTTTGGAAAACAAAATCAAGCCTTAAAACATAAGAAAAATAATGCTTCAGTTAAGAATAATAACATTTACATTTCAATTTCTACTTCAAAAGCAAAAGTTCAGTAAGATTTTCGATTATAGTTTTATTATATAATTCTATCTCTACTGAAACTATAAAACTATTTTCTGTAAATACAACTTAAATGCAATGTGAAAATTATCATATTTTATTGAAATAATGAAATCCATCATCAAATGTTTCTTTCTAATCATCTAACCACCCTTTTAGGTCTAGTAGGAAAAAGTCACTTATGAACCGCCCCTCTGTGTTTTATTTATGCAATTCAAATGTGTAGACAACAGTCTTTGGGACTTAATTTTTCAGCTACCAAAACTGGAAGGTAGACACAAATATAAGTTTGCAGTCAGACGTGAGTGTCAGCACAGTTCGTAAAACCAATCAAGGGCCGCATCAGGTGGAAATCGGGAAACAGCATTTTCCTTCTTCCCTTTTGCTGTTGCTAATTGCAAAGTCCACACCATGGTCCCTTTAAGTGCAACTTAAACAAACCTCACAGGGCATTGTACTCCACACATTTTGATGGATCAGTGGGAAAGTGCTTCTGGCAAATGGTCATGAGCCTCTTCAATCCCTAAGACAATAAATAAGGAAAATAAAGTTTGATTATAATGCAGTGAACGATTCTTAATTGCCCTCTACTGGATTCATTTGTTTGTCAATGTTCCCATTAAAATGGAGCAATGCCCAACAATTCCACTCAGATGTGAAAAAACAGGAATCCTCATGTAAAAGTTTGTTAATAGCAGCATTGTTCATAATATCAAGTGCAAAAAGCAAACCAAAGATCAGTTCAAGTGGAGCTAGCAAACGGAGTGGTTGTGTGATTGCGTCTCAGAGACCAGCAGTGCTTGTAGCGTGGCTGACCAACTTGACTGAAGAGCTGAATGCAGAATTCCAAGATGCTTTCTTACTATTTGACAAGGATAGTGATGGAACTACAACAACAAAGGAATTGGGAACTGTAATGAGGTCTCCTGGGCAGAATTCCACAGAAGCAGAATTACAGGACATGATTAATGAAGTAGATGCTGATGGTAATGGCACAACTGACTTCCCAGAATTTCTGACAATGATGGCAAGAAAATGAAAGACACAGTGAAGAAGAAATCAGAGAAGCATTCAGGTGTTTGATAGGATGGCAATGGCTATATTAATGCAGCAGAACTTAGTCATGTGATGACAAACCTTGGAGAGAAGTTAACAGATAAAGGGGTTGATGAAATGACCAGGGAAGCAGATACTGATGGTGATGGTCAGGTAAATTATGAAGAGTTTGTACAAATGATGACAGCAAAGTGAAGACATTGTACAGAATGTGTTAAATTTCTTGCACAAAAGTGTTTATTTGCCTTTTCTTTGTTTGTAACTTATTTGTAAATGGTTTCCCCTTACTGTCAAGAGCATATGCATGTATAGTAATTAGGACTTCATTCCTCCATGTTTTCTTCCCTTATCTTACTGTCTTTGTCCTGAAACCTTATTTTAGAAAACTGATCAAATAACATGTTGTATGTGGCTTTCTCGGGACATATCTAAGCCTTTCTGCACATCTAAACTTAGATAGAGTTGTCAAATGAGGGAGCATCTGGGTTATGCCTTTTTTAAAGTAGTTTTCTTTAGGAACTGTCAGCATGTGGTTGTTGAAGTGTGGAGTTGTAACTCTATGTGAACTTTGGGCAGTCAACAATATGTACTTAAAGTTGCACTATTGCAAAATGGATGCATTTTCCAGGTATTCGTACACTATGTTTTTGTACTGTTGGTCTTATACCAGAAACATTTTCTTTTATTGTTACTTGCTTTTTAAACTTTGTTTAGCCACTTAAAGAAAATCTGCTTACGGCACAATTTGCCCCAATTCCATTCCAAGTTGTATATTTGTTTTCCAATTAAAAAAAAAAAAAAGTAAGCAAGAAAGCAAACAAAAAAGTGCAAAACAATCTGTAAACCTAATGGAGTGAAAATTATTTTACCTAAAAATATGTAGTCTCTATCCCAAGTTCTTAGAGAGGCACACCTTTAAACTGTTGGAATTTCCCAGTGTCTTGTTATTCATGGTGCACACCAAATCACACCTGACAATTTATGCTAATGAGATGACTCTCGGTAGGGATAGGCACATCAGAAAGTCCACCATGTGATATCAGATCAACATCTAGCGAAGGGGCCTGAAGATTGGGTTCAACCATGTGGTCAATGATCCAATCAAACATGACTATTAGCATGCGGATAACAAATGTTTCTTTTCTATAATAAAAGTAATCATAAGTAAGTGTTTTTCTGAGTATTGTGAGCTGTCATCAGCCAAATCGCTACTATTACTGACAAACAAGCAGGGGCAACAGTCAAGACCTGCACATGCTACCATAGATTTTCCTCTATAACAATTTTGGGAATAGCTTTCCAATCAGCAATGAATCAATCCTCTTGATGGTTTTCTCTACCAGCCTACAAATTATCTTGTTGACCAGGAAAGACTTTGACAAATGTCTTATTCAAATCTACATTGTTGTTGGGTCAGCTCCATGTTGCACTATCTTCATGATTGCTGGAGTCTGCTGTGACCACAACGCATTGTGAGTGCCTTCCAATCTAAGGGGCTCATCTTCCGGTACTATATTCAGAGATATTTTCTTGTCACCCATAGGCTTTCATGGACTAATTTTTGGAAGTAAATCACTAAGTGTGTCTTAGTCTGGAAGCTCCATTGAAAGCTGTCCACCATGGGTGACCCTACTGGTATCCAAAATAACCTAAAAGGCTTCCAACATCATAGTAACATGCTAGCCACCATAGTATGACAGACAGATGGGTGAAAGAACTATGTATGTGTATGTACACACACACATATATGGAATTCTGGTGTGGCGCTGTGGGTTAAAGCACTGTACTGCAAGGTTGGTTAAAATCACAAGGTTGGTGGTTCAAACTCACCAGCCACTTCTTGGAAACCCTATGCAAGGTTGCAATGAGTCGAAATCGACTCAAATGCGCTTAACATATATATAAATTTATCTACAAGGAGCTCTGGTAGCGTAGTGGTTATGAATCGGGCTGCAAACCGTAAGGTCAGAAGTTCGAAACTACCAGCTGCTCCGAGGGAGAAAGATAAGGCTTTCTGCTCCCGCGAAGATTTATAGCCTCAGAAACCCTGCACAGGGTCGCTATGGGTCGGAACCGACTCAACGGCACTTAACAACAACAACAATAGCAATACTGATTAGATATTTTTAAAGCACCAAAAACAGGAGTACATAATTTCAATGGACCCTCAAACAATTTCTGGCACAAATTATTTTAAGCTTTACTTTCTCACCTTGGGTTCACAAAAATTAAAATCATTCATCTTGTACTATAACAACAAGAACAACAACAAAATCCTATCACAGGCCAAAGTTTGTGTCCAGGCCTATGATAATATTAGAAATTGAATAGGAAAGTATAACACACTAACACTTAACTAACATGCCACAAAAACTCACTTTCTTTACTTAAAATGATATAATGAAACATCATCTACTCTGTACCCAAAAAAGACCTTTGTACCCTAGTAGGGAAAGCAGAGTATGTGGCTATACTGACACAACCCCCAATACAAGAGAACTTTCGTTCTTTTTTGTGTCATCTGGCAGTCAGGAGGAAGCACAAAAAAATTGTCTCAAACTGATGTAACAGGTACCTAAATTATCATCAAGCCGTTAGAACTCTTACTCAGTATTGTTGTTGTTAAGGGCCGTTGAGTTGGTTCCGACTCGCAGTGACCCTGTATAAGGTTTCCGAGAATTCGCTGGAGGGGTTGAACAGCCAACCTTGTGGTTAGCAGTCCACTGCTTATCCTATTCAAGCAACTCTTAAGCATAGTACAATCAACAAAAACAAAATCAAACAAATAAAAATCTCTACAAAATGTTTGGGCCCACAGCAAGCAGATCACACAAATTTGAACAATTTTTATGAATTTAGTGATAAAGGAACAGATTCACTATCAGAGAGCAACGTTTTCCAAATATTGTACTTCAAGTCCTTTGTGGATCCAGAGATTGTCCATATTGTATTACTTGGTAAGAAAAGGGGGTCTTCTTTCATCTGATTTCCCAGAAGAGAAGCTTTCCCCATGGCAGGCAGTGCAAAGAATCAACAGGGCAATTGCCTGGCTGCTCCTTTTCTTGCTCCCTGTGCTAATCAGGTATTTGCTTTAAGATAAATAGCATTCTCTTCTCACAGCTTCTCCAGCTGTGAAATCATACTCGTGTGTATACAGAATTGTGATTTGGTAGCCTTGGAAATAGATGTGATATCACTAATTTGGTATCTGAAGTTTCCAGAAGGAATAGGTGAGAAGAGAGGCAAGCTTAGAACACCCCTGAAGAAATGTAAGTAGAAGCAAAACATGGCAAGAATTAGGATGAGCAAAGAGACAGCAAACTCATGTTACAGCTGCTGAAGGTATCTTCCTTACATTGTATAAACAAGAATCTTCGGTGCTTGCTCTTTAAAGAAGACAATTGTGATGCCTAGTATCCTGAAAGACATATTGTTTCCAAAAGCTTGTAAAACTCAACAATTCAAGTCATAAATAGTTAGCACAGGACATTACAATATATTTTTGCAATAAAGATGGATAGCAAACAGAACAAATTCTTACATGAGCATAATATAAGGAGGAATTCCTGGTGTGGCACTGTGAGTTAATGCACTGGACTGCAAAGTCAGTCTGAACCACAAGGTTGGTGGTTCAAGCTCACCAGCCACTCCTAGGAAACCCTATACACAGTTGCTATGGTTCGGACCGACCGACAGCAACTAACAAAACCAACAATCTAAGAAGAGCATATGGCTACTTTCCAAGTGAAACAAATCTTTTTGATGAGAACCCTCAGGATTTCAGTTTCAAACTAGTTGTAGCTGCTTAAGCCAGTAAGATAATGAGTTACATATCTTCGTTTACAGAAAGCATTTTAAAAAACAGGTTGCAATTTTTTAAATGTACGAAGTATGAATCTGGGAAATGTGGAAGCTCTCAAATATGAAAGGCAATACATAAACACTGATATCTTAGGCATTAGTGAGCTGAAATGGACTGGTATTGGCCATTTTGAATCTGACAACGAACCACATGGTTTACTATGTCAGGAATGACAAATTGAAAAGGAATGGTGTTGCATTCATCATCAAAAAGAACATACCCAGATCAGTCACGAGGCACAACGCTGTCTGTGATAGGATAACATCCATGTGCCTAATGGGAAGACCTTTTTAAAGTACTGAAGAGCAAAGATGTCAGCTTGAAGACTAAGGTGAGGCTGACCCAAGCCATG